GGCCTAACTGCATACAACCAGCTGGTAGGAGTGACTGGAAGCTTAGGTGAAGGTCCACTGACCTTGCTTATCTCTTTCTTTTGCAGGAATATTAACTTTTAACAAGCCCAGCTCTGATTACACTAAGCAAACACATCTAGAGTTGTCATTGAGAACTTTTTGTGGCATCTGCAGATGGAGGCAGAAGACCTGAAAAGCTGAAGTATCCGTTATCTTAGAAAGCCATTAAGTTGTAGGATAATATAAGTATCTATAACCAAAAAGAATAAAAACCACACACACATCTACAGGAACGCAGGAAAGGTCGGCATCGGGTTATCTTGTTTTCTTTATGGATTTTTGTTTTACAGATGTTTAACCGTATCCAACAAGCTTACAATCTTGAGGTACAGAGAGTTTATATTTTAGCTTTTTAAAAGAATATGGTTTGTTTTGTTTTCTCTCTTTGTCCTCGAGTAGTTGGCCTTATGACCCAGAAGCAAAGATTTTGTAGGAAATTTTCAAATAATCGTGCTTGGGTTAGAAGAGGGAGCCATACTTCAACTCCAGAACCAGCTTTTTAATAAAGTACAACAATGAAACAATATCTTAATGAATAACCATACTGGAAAAAAATACCTAACATCTGCAAAAACATAACCCAGTGATTCCAGGGAAAGACCAAAGAAAGGTGAATACAAAGAAAGCTTGGAGATAAGAAGGGGCTCCTGGTGTCCAGGAGGGTTGCATGTCAGGAGTGCCCCTATTGCCCCACCCTAACTGTGTGTGTGTGGGGAAGGACACAGCCAGAGTTCAGTGGTCAGAGCTCTGGGAACAGCTGGGAGATAGAACAACCTGGAAAAGGTTATCCTTTAGAAGCAGAAAGAGGGAAAAGGATTGTAAACAGGAAGGTGTGGAGAAATGTGTGAAGTATCTGTGGGACTTAAACGGCAGACTCCTGCAAACCAATGAGAGGGACAGCGACAGTGCAAGCTTCAGAGAGGAGCTAGCCTAGAGGCAGTTAGGAGCAGTTTACCACACTAAAATCCTGAAGACGTAGGATGGGCTCAGGGGCCATTTGGCTGGGCTCAGTTTGATTCCCATCTCTTCAACAAAACTTGAAAACAAATCCAATAGATAACAGAGAACAACAGAAACACAGCGTGACAGAACAATCAGAAACAAAATAAAACAATAACAACAGCAAAACTTCAGATGAATTCAGACATATGGTGGCCACCTTCACTTACCCACCAAAACCGGAAGGACTGGAGACTGGGTCTAGAGTCTCATCAGATCCCATCTTTTGTCTCTTCAAATGTCTAGACACCAAAAATAGTACAACTCACCAATGGGTCCAAGCTTCAGAAATATTTTGGCCAGCAATTATTACTTTCAATATGAAAATTTGGGGTAGTTGTCATCTGGGATCCCCAGGGCCTGTCAAATCCACTTTAGACTTGCTTTCTCTGGGGCCTATCCCAGAATCCTGGCCCTGAGTCTGAGGTCTCTCAGTAATCTTGCTGGAGCCTCCAATTATTATGGAGTTTGTGACCATGGGAAAAGACCATAGACTAAATTGAATTATAATTAAAATATTTAGTGATCAGTTGCTGGCAGGATGAACAGTCTCTGAGCTAAATTTGAGATTGCCACGCAGGAAGGGTATGGGCAAGGACTTTTTTTTTTTAAGATTTATTTATTTATTATATGTAAGTACACTGTAGCTGTCTTCAGACACCCATATGAGGGCATCAGATCTCATTGTAGATGGTTGTGAGCCACCATGTGGTTGCTGGGATTTGAACTCATGACCTCTAGAAGAGCAGTCAATGTTCTTAACCACTGAGCCATCTCACCAGCCCGAGCAAGGACTTTTAAAGGGGAAAACCACATGAAGACCTTCAATAACTACGAAAGCAAATAAAAACTGTTCTGTTCTGCTAAGTTAAGTGGTTAAGGCAACTCAAAACAATCTTTGGCTATCTGCATAAGCAAGTTACAGAAGCAAAACCAGCAAGTTAGTCATATTATAACAAGTATATAGACAGGACTGTACATTATTGGGTGCGGGTCACTGAGTCAGGATTACTGGGGACTTATCTTCTAGGGACTGGAATCAGAAGCAAAAGGCATCCAAGATGGAGGATGCTTAGCTTAAAGTGGATCTTCTTTAGCCGTAACATTCACTCAATAATGAGAGGAGCTGAGTTTAGGACCGCTTTCTGATTAGGGACAAGGACAGGAGAGGAGAGTTTACTCATTAAGGACAAGGATATGAAGGCTTCCAGGAGGAGGCAAAGGCAAGACCCAGAACCAGATCAATTTAGTCAAGCACGGGTAATGTTTGTATGCTACTAATTGGGATTCCAATTTGAGAAAACACAGATTTGGTTACAATAATAGGCTCAGGTTCTTCAAAACAGCACTGGTATTTATAGCTTAAAAAAAGAAAAACAGACTGGACTGGAGAGGTGGCTCAGTTGGTGAGGTAATTGCTGGGCAAGTCTGAGGAGCCTGAATCTGACTCCCCAGCACACACATAAAAAGCAAGGCAGGAAGTACCTGTCACCCCTGGGCTGGGAAGACAGTAAAAGGTGACTCTTTGGAGCACTCCAGCCAGCCAGTTTAATGGGATTCGTGAGTTCCAGGCTCAGTCCCCAAATACAAGGCAGAGGGACTTCTGAGATGGCTTAGTAAATGCAGGTGTCTGCTACCAAGTCTGATGACTGAGTTCAGTCCCCGGGACTTACAGGGTAGAGGGAAAAAACCAACTCCAGCCAGGCGTCATCGGATCATCACACAGTGCGGGCACTCACCCAAATTAGCATGTAAATAAATAAATTAAAATATAATAAGACAGACAGGACTGCATAAATGGCTCAGTGTTTAAGAGCACTGGCTGTCCTTTTCAGAGGACCTGGGTTCAGTTCCCAGCACTTACATGTAGCCCATCCTTCTACCTCAGCCTGAGAGCAGAACCACCATGTCCAGTTCTAGGGAAATTTTTTGTTGTTGTTACTGTTCTTAGTGTTTATTTATTTTCTGTGTGCCAGTGTTGCATTCGCTGGCATGTGTGTCTATGCACCACATGGTGCAGTGCCTGTGGAGAACAGAAGAGCTCAGTAGATCCTCTGGGACCGGAGTTAACAATGGTTGTGACCTTTTATGTGGGTGCTGGGAATCAAACCGGGTCCTCTGGAAAAGTTAACCATTAAGCCACCATCTCTCTAACCCTCCCCAGCAAATACATACATACTTGCATGCATGCATGCATACATACATACATACATACATACATACATCCTTTAAGAAGATAAGGATTGACCTCTAACCTCCATCTGCACATGGTCACCTGTTTAAACACTCTGAAGGCAGGCACAGGAAACATAAGCATTCAGAATTAAGCAAGCGGACTGGAAGCTCCCACCCTTGTGTTTGGCAAGACCTCCTCATGCTAGGGAGCACTCCTTCTGTTCTCCTTCATCCCCAACCCCTTAACCAGAATATCGATAATTGAAACACAATTTAGGTATTTTGTAACAAAAAAAAAAATTGGGAGCGTTTGTTTGAGTGGTTGGGGGAACCTTCTCTTGTGCTCAAGTTCAACAGACTTTAACAATGCTTTTGGGTGCCGGGCAGTGGTGACTCGCGCCTTTAGTCTCAGCGCTCAGTGGGGAGAGGCAGGTGGATCTCCGAGTTCCAGGCCAGCCAGGACTAAACAGAAAAAAAACCTCTCTGGAAAAGCCAAAACCAAAACCAACCAAACAAAATAACGATTTAGGGAACTCCCTTTTGGCTCAGTTTGAAAGTCCAAAGGCACATCTGGGGATGGGTGTGTCTTTAGTCCAGGTCAAAGATTTAAGTTGAAACCTAAAGGATATTCACCTCCATTTTAAGAACTGGAAACTAGCCGGGCAGTGGTGGCCCACGCCTTTAATCCCAGCACTTGGGAGACAGAGGTAGGCGGATTTCTGAGTTCGAGGCCGGCCTGGTCTACAGAGTGAGTTCCAGGACAGCCAGTGCTGTACAGAGAAACCCTGTCTCGAAAAAACAAACAAACAAACAAACAAACAAAAAGAACTGAAAACTAACTGGGCAGCATTAGTCCCAGCACTCGGAAGGCAGAGACAAGAGGATCTCTGTGATTTTGAGGCCAGCCTGGTCTACAGAGTGAGTTCCAGAACAGCCAAGGAAAGATACAGAGAGAAACCACGTCTCCCAAAACAAAAACCAACCAATCACACAACAACAATAAAAACAAAAGTAAAAAACGTGTGGCCATCAAGACTGCCTTAGCTGTAGACTTACTTGCCCAAAATCTGAGCACTTAAAAGACTGTTTAGTCAGAGAGGCTAGAGTGATGAATTGGGGGCGGGGGAGGTGGCCGATACTAAGACCACTGACAGGGAATGGCTGCTGCAGGTCATGTGACATAGCAACCTGCACTTGTGACACGTTGCAGGCCCAGGAGACACTTCTGTCACGTCCAGTGCTGTCAGTTCTACAAGGGTCTTGAACTTGGGTTAGATGCTCCAACTCTGCCTAACGTTCTCTCTTTGCCTTGCAGACACCAGTAATCGGAAGGATGACTTAAAATTCTAGGTCCTCCTAGGATATACAAAACATGTTCTAGGCCAACCTAGGTAGCATCCCCTTACCTGTCCCTCACCTGGGCGTCAGGAGAGCTTGGCTGCAAACTTGGGCAGTGAAATCGCTCCCTTCCTCAGAGACCTACAAGAAGAGAAACACATCCCTGCCCTCCACCCCCACCCCCCGCCGGCTCAAAGTTGTCTGGGTGTCCTTTAAAAACTCCTTTAATAAACCCTTAACTCCCCAAATCCTTCTCAGTGTCTCTTTTGAACCCTCATCCGCGACCTTTCAAAGGAGTTGTGAAGTCATAAAGTCAGGGACTTCAAGGGTTCTTTCAGACCTTAGCCTAGTGGTCCTGGGAGGCACAAGCCCAGAGTGAGGGGAGGAGGGAGAGCTGTTAATGGCTGTGAGGCAGGCAGGGACTTCGCTCAGGCATATGAGAGGATGATCCAGGACTTCAAGCCTTTGGGGCTTCCTCTTTCTGCAGAGTGTAGCCGCGGGGCCTCCAGATGGCATTGAGCAAGCAGCTGTACAAGGGCTTGCCCTCAATCAAGCTGGCGCGGGCGGCTTCTCTCGAGAACATGTGACCCTCCCAGATCCCGCCTCCGCCCTTCCACGGAGAGCGAGGCTAAAAGGCCCAGCCGCTGGGACGGTGGGCAGCCTGGCCAGCATGTCCCCAAAATCGAGTGTGTGCTGGGTCGCCCTGGGCCAGCTGCTGTGCAGCTGCGCGCTGGCGCTGAAGGGCGGGATGCTGTTCCCGAAGGAGAGCCCGTCCCGGGAGCTCAAGACGCTGGACGGACTGTGGCACTTCCGCGCCGATCTCTCCGACAATCGGCTGCAGGGCTTCGAGCAGCAGTGGTACCGGCAGCCGCTGCGGGAGGTGTGCGCTCCTGGGGATCCGGGGTCTGGAAGCTTCCAGAAGCCAGGGAATGGGAGGAAGGGTGCCTGTACCTGGAGATCCCCTTGTGCTCACTTAGAGGAGGTTAATATGCGTTTGCAGGCTAGGGAGGGGAGCAGCCGGAGCAGGAAATGGGACCTGGCATGACTGAGAACCGCATGGACTCTAGGGCTTCCGCTAGGCAGGCGCAGCCCCAGGCATTGGACTAAAACAAACAAACAAAACAACAACTTTTAATTTTACTTCATAGTGCTGGAGGTTGAACCCAGGGCCCTGTGCGTGCTTGTTACTACTGAGCCTTCTGTTTATGCTTTAAAGCTGTATCTTATTCTACAACCCAGGCTGGCCGGGATATCCCGGTGAACCTCCTGCTCCCGCTTTCCCGAGTGTTGGGGAGAGGGGATGTTTGTGAACATCCCTCCTGCATCCCGGTGCACATGCCTCCCTCATTCTCATCTAGTGAGAAGCAGAACCCTAGGAGATGCTACCCCCCTACAGAGATTTTGGGATGGGGATAGACTAGGAGGAAGCCGGTACATCATCAGGGCTCTGTTCAAACAAGGTCAGAAGGGCCTTGGGGTTGCAGATTCAGATAGAGGACATGACTTTGCACACAGCTAGCTTAGGACCCCATCCCTGCTCCCCCTTCCTTCCTAGGTAGGGTTGGTGCAGAAACAGGTTGAAGCAAACCTGTGTGCTCACGGCCTCCGCCTCTCTCCGATTCATTCATACACCCTACCTCATTTCCTCTTCCCCTATTTGGCTCTCTCTGTCTTCCTTTAAAATTTGTGACCTTTATGTATTGTGTGTGAGTATGTGGGCACCCTGTGCTACACAGTGCATGTGGTGGTCAGAGGATAGCTTGTTGGGAGTCTGGTCTCTCCTAGGTCCCAGGGATATGACTCGGGTCATCAGGCTTAGTGGCTAGTGACCTACCCAGTCACCTTACCAGCAGTGTGTGTGTGTGTGTGTGTGTGTGTGTGTGTGTGTGTGTTTGAGACAGCTGCCCACCTTAGCCTCCGACCCATAGCAATCTGGCTACCTTAGCCTCCCAGGTTGCTAGGTTACAGGTTAAGAGCCACCGCACCTGGCTTAGACTCTCAGTTTTCAACTGTACTGCTTAGATTCAGGAAAAGAGGAAGTAAGGAGGTGACATTGCCCCCGCGAGCCTTCTCCGTTTCCTCAGGGGCCCCTGTTCCCTGCTGTTGGCCTTCCTTCTTGTGGCAAGGAGCACCCGCCTTTTATGTCAGGGTCTGGTCCTTCCTGTTTTAGACTGGCCTGTGACCCTTTCGCTCACTCTTTCCGTGGAAATCTTGGTCACGGTACCATCTGCCTGGTGGAAGAATTTAGTTTTAACAGTCTTTTCCATCAGCTGTCCCTGCAGTTCACTTGGGGACAAGTTACCCACCCATGCAGCCAGTATTTACAGAATCTCTCCCCTGTGTCCCCTATGCTTTTCTAGGGTCCTGGGAATCGAGTTGTGAAGGATAGACCTGATCCTTCTCCTTAGCTAGAGTCTCCTGTATCCTCGGGCCAGCCTCAGATCTGCTATGAAGCAGAGGATAGCCAGGGCATGACCGTGAACGTCCTTCTTCCTGGCTGCACCTCCCATATGCTTAGGATTACCAGCGCACACCACCATGATTAGCTTATGTGGTGCTGGAGTTGGAACCCAGATTTTCATCCATGGTAGGCCAGAGCTCTATCAGCTGAGCCACATCCACAGAACATGACTCTACCTCTTTTTTCCCTAGTCGGGCCCAACCTTGGACATGCCCGTCCCTTCCAGCTTCAATGACATCACCCAAGAAGCGGCGCTTCAGAACTTCATTGGCTGGGTGTGGTATGAACGGGAAGCAATCCTGCCGCAGCGATGGACCCAAGACACCGACACGAGAGTGGTGTTGAGGATCAACAGTGCCCATTACTATGCCGTTGTGGTGAGTGTAGGGAGAGGGTTGGCTGGCCGGAAGGCAGTCTGGGCTGTCGAGGGCTCGGTGCCATGGGTCGGAGAAAGGATTGCTTCGTGGGCTCCGTTAGGACACCATTCTTCCATCTGGCTGAGGGCGGGACCCTCTTCCGGAAGGGGGTACCTGAGACAGCAGAGCCTTTGCCCTCTGCTCATATTTCCTTGTGTCTGCAGTGGGTGAATGGGATCCATGTGGTGGAGCATGAGGGAGGTCACCTCCCCTTTGAGGCTGACATCAGCAAGCTGGTCCAGAGTGGGCCCCTGACCACCTGCCGGGTCACGATCGCCATCAACAACACACTGACCCCTCATACCCTTCCACCGGGGACCATCGTCTACAAGACCGATACCTCCATGTAAGCAGCATCCCTCCGCTCCCCTCCCCCCTCCCCTGCCCAATGGCCTTCCCCATAGGGAGAGTGGCTCTAGGCCTGGGTCTGATGAGGAGACCAGGAGATGCATGCTAGTTAACATCAAAGGAGACAGAGTGATTTCTGGAAGTTCTCAGGCCCAGCAAGATCAAGAGACCCTGTCTAGGGGTAGAAGGAAAGAACTGGTGCCTGAGGTTGTCTTCTGATCTACACATGTGCACTGTGGTACACACACACACAGATACACACGCACAAACACACAGAGAGATACACACACAAGCATGCGCGTGCACACACACACACAGTTATACACGCACACGCACAAACACACACACAGAGAGATACACACATACCAGGTGTGGGGGAGGGGATTTAAAAAACCACACAGACAATGGACCTTGGTTTTCCCACCCTAGGTATCCCAAGGGTTACTTTGTCCAGGACACACATTTTGACTTCTTCAACTATGCAGGACTGCATCGGTCTGTGGTCCTGTACACCACCCCTACTACCTACATCGACGATATCACTGTGATCACTAATGTGGACCAAGACATCGGTGAGGGTGCCCGGCGGGAGGCTGTGTGCTAGACTGGGTCCATTTTATCCCAATTCCCAAGGGGAAAAATCCCTAAGGAGAAAACGGCTTCAAGCATCTTTTAGCCCTTCCCCTGCTTCATTATCCTCAGAAGACAAGACTCAGATTGCCCAAGCTGACACCTTTCTGGTGGGTCCTCTTTTGCAAGGAAATGAAGACCAATGAGAAGTGGGGTCTTGTCTAAAGTGACATCGCTCAGGATATTGGGTTACTTCTCCCTACTGTACCACCCCTATCTCTACACTGGTTTTTTTTTTTTTTTTTTTTTTTTTTGGTTTTTCGAGACAGGGTTTCTCTGTGTAGCCCTGGCTGTCCTGGAACTTACTCTGTAGACCAGGCTGGCCTTGAACTCAGAAATCCGCCTGTCTCTGCCTCCCAAGTGCTGAGATTAAAAAAGGCATGCGCCACCACCGCCCGGCTACACTTTTTTTTGTTGTTGTTGATTGTTGTTCTTTTGTTTTTTTTGTTTTTGTTTTTAAAGCAGTTTTTCTCTAGCGTCTTGGGACCTAAGGGGACTTCTGGGACTGGTATGATATCTGTTTCTGTCCCACAGGGCTGGTGGACTACTTGATTTCCGTGCAGGGCAGTGAACATTTCCAGCTAGAAGTGCATCTTTTGGATGAGGATGGCAAAGTCGTGGCCCACGGAACAGGGAACCAGGGTCAACTTCAGGTGCCCAGTGCCAACCTCTGGTGGCCTTACCTGATGCATGAGCGTCCAGCCTACCTGTACTCCTTAGAGGTAACAGTGATTTTGGACTGGGGCTAAGAAAGGTCCTTTGCTGCCACCTGGTGACACCAGCAGGCATCCAGGACAGGTGGCTAAGCTGTACCGTATGAGATTTCTGGCTTTTTCTGTCACTTTGTGGGAGAGTCCTGCTGTGAAGAGTAGGTCCTGAGGTCGGGTTCTGGTTAAAGACAGAGACTGTAATTTCTGCATCCCTAGGTAGGTGTGTGGGACACATGGGCCCCGGGGGTATCGGATAATAGGATCAAATGGGTGTAGTAGTTGAGGTCAGCCTGGTCTCTATAGTGAATTCCAGGATAGCCAGAGCTACATAGTAAGACCCTGTCTCAAATGATCAGTTGTTCCCCACCCCCCCCCCACCCCGCAACGAAACAAAACCCCAAACGAGCTGGGCTGTGGTGGTCCACACCTTTAATCCCAGCACTTGGGAGGCAGAGGCAGGCGGATTTCTGAGTTCGAGGCCAGCCTGGTCTACAGAGTGAGTTCCAGGACAGCTAGGGCTACACAGAGAGACCCTGTCTCGAAAAACCAAAAAAAAACAACAACCACCCCCACACACACAAAAAAAAAGCTTCAGCGTTATGAGGGGCGAGAGGCTCAGTCTACCCGGGCGCTCATGCCTGGCACATCGGCTCTCCTAGGTGAAGATGACAACAGCTGAGTCTGTGTCTGACTTCTACACCCTCCCTGTCGGGATTCGAACAGTGGCTGTCACAAAGAGCAAGTTCCTCATAAACGGGAAGCCTTTCTATTTCCACGGCGTCAACAAGCACGAGGATTCAGATGTGAGTTGTAGCCATGGCAACCCCGTGTGGCTCGTTTGGGAGTCAGTGCTATCTCCTTCCCCTTCCTCTGTTCCCTGGCGACACTGTCGTGTGCTGGGGTTTGTGGTGAGCCTAGATAGGGTGGACTGGGTGACTCCAGGGGCCGGGCTTCAGAAGAAAATGCGTAGTCTCCAGTCACAAGGATAGAGGTCACGAAGCCCTGCTGTCTCCTAGATCCGAGGGAAAGGCTTCGACTGGCCTCTGCTGATAAAGGATTTCAACCTACTCCGTTGGCTCGGGGCAAATTCCTTTCGTACCAGCCACTATCCCTACTCCGAGGAGGTACTTCAGCTCTGTGACCGATATGGAATTGTGGTCATTGACGAGTGTCCCGGTGTGGGCATTGTGCTGCCGTGAGTGCCCGCCCCCTCGCTGCCTACACTGCCCAGCTTCCCCAAGCTTGTCTTAGAGCCTTTTGGGGATCCTTTCCTCTCTCGCTCCACAGCCAGAGTTTTGGCAACGAGTCTCTTCGGCACCACCTAGAGGTGATGGAGGAGACGGTGCGCCGGGACAAAAATCACCCAGCGGTCGTGATGTGGTCTGTGGCCAATGAGCCCTTATCTGCTTTCAAACCTGCTGCGTATTACTTCAAGTGAGTGCCCTTTCTCCCCTGGGCTGAGTCGGGCCTCTGGCTTTAGCCCTTTGGCCTGGCTCAACCTCTATAGACAGCCGGGAACGTGGAAGTCAGCCATAACAGGGTGGACAGGTGCAGTGAGTGTCACTATCCCCCCCATCACTTCTGTGGTCCCAAATTCTCTCTCTCTCTCTCTCTCTCTCTCTCTCTCTCTCTCTCTCTCTCTCTGTCTGTCTCTTTTTAAAGATTTATTTATTGTATATGAGTACACTATTGCTGTTTCAGACACCCCAGAAGAGGACATCAGACCACCCCATTACAGATGGTTGTGAGCCACCATGTGGTTGCTGGGAATTGAACTCAGGACCTCTGGAAGAGCAGTCAGTGCTCTTAACCACTTAGCCATCTCTCCAGCCCTCCCCCCCCCTTTTTTTTTTTCAGAATTCCCTTTCATGCACACATCTGTGGGTTTTGTTTTGTTTTGTTTTGTTTTCAAGACAGGGTTTCGCTGTGTAGCCCTGGCTGTCCTGGCAGTAAGGGCTGAGTCATTTTTCAGCTCCTTTTCTGATTTTTTATTTTTATTTTTCAGACAAGATCTCAAAAAGCACAGGCTGGCCTCAACTTGCTAGGTAGCTAAGGCTGGCCTTGAACTCTTACTCCTTCTGTCTCCGTCTCCTACTCAGTGCTAGGATTGCAGTGTGCTCCCTCGCACCTGGCATTCATTCATTCATTCATTCATTCATTCATTCATGATTGCATGCATGCGTTCACTCATTCATTCATTCATTCTAGATGGAAACGCATGCTAAAACTATAGGAAACTACTTTGCGATGCTTTGAGTTCACTTTTTTTTTTTTTTTCGAGACAGGGTTTCTCTGTATATCCCTGGCTGTCCTGGAACTCACTCTGTAGACCAGGCTAGCCTCGAACTCAGAAATCCGCCTGCCTCTGCCTCTCAAGTGCTGTGATTAAAGGCGTACGCCATCACCGCCCGGCTGAGTTCACTTATATAAAACTGATTTATACAGGCATATGAATATAAGTGGGACTTAAAAATAGTTACTATGTAAAGGTATTTTGCCTGCATGTATGTCTGTACCACATGTGGGCTTATTGTCTTCAGGGGCCTGAAGGCATCAGATCCCCAAGAACTGAAGGTATAGCTGTTGGAAGCTACCATGTGGGTGCAAGGAATTGAGCCCAAGTCCTCTCTGGAAGAGCAACCACTGGGTTCTCTCTCCAGCACCATAAAAGGGAACTTAAAAAAAAAAAGATTTATTTATTTTATGTGTGTGAGTACTCTGTAGCTGTCTTCAGACACACCAGAAGAGGGCATCAGACTGTCTTACAGATGGTTGTGAGCCACCATGTGGTTGCTGGGAATTGAACTCAGGACCTCTGGAAAAGCAGTCAGTGAGTACTCTTAACCACTGAGCCATCACCCCAGCCCTCCAACAGGAACTAATGAGACAAAATGTTTTAAAGGTATTTTCTGGTACTGGGGACGCAGTCCAGGGCCTTGCCTGTGCATGCTAGGCAGGTGTTCTACCACTGAGCTCCACCTTCAGCCATAGCTCTTCCTCTGTCATGCGACTGTCACAGCCTTCAGGATAAATCATGTTGCTTGTCACACAGAAGCAGCAGAAATTTCTTCATCAGCGTTTCTCAGTTTTCCTAACACCGAGGCCCTTAAATTCAGTTCCTCATGTTGTGGTGACCCCCCCACACACACACCGTAAAATTATTATTACTTTGTTTTGTTTTTCGAGACAGGGTTTCTCTGTGTAGCCCTGGCTGTCCTGGAACTCACTCTGTAGACCAGGCTGGCCTCGAACTCAGAAATCCACCTACCTCTGCCTCCCAAGTGCTGTGATTAAAGGCGTGCGCCACCACCGCCCGGCTGTAAAATTATTTTTGTTGTTACTTTGTAACTGGGATTTTGGTAACTTTTACAAATCCTAATGTAAATGTTTTTGGAGACAGAGGTTTGCCAAAGGGGTCTGGACCCACGGGTTGAGAACCCCTTGGTCTCCATGCCACGGCTGCATCTGGGATACTCCATGTAGTATTCTGGGCTCCCAGACGTTCTGAGGAGGTGGTGAGGAAGATGCATTCATTAAGAGACAGAGGGCATAAAGCCAGGACTGGATAGGCTGGAGTACCCCAGAGTGGACTTTGCTAATTCGGAGTTGTTTTGAGAGGGCGGGTTCAGGACTTATATCCAAGGGGCAATACACAGCCTTCATATAAGAAGAGTAACGATCAAAAAGTCGTAAAAGAAAAGGATAGTCTTCAAGGGTGACTGATGTTAATCCGTGCTGTAGAGATTAGAAGTAGATCCCGGGGACCAAACCCTAACCCTAGACTAGTCCTTCCATTGGGTCCTCTCCTCTCCATTCCTCCTGGCTCAGTGGTTAATTCAACTTAACACTAACGCCATTTCTTCAAGAGGCTTCCCCGACTCTTAAGTTAAATCATGTGTGCCGCGCCCCCTCTTACAGAGAACCACGCCCCCTTCCAGAGAACCACGCCCCCCTCGTTTCTGTTACCATTTTCGTTTGTGCTCATCTCTGCTCTCATGACTCTGGGCAGTCACCATCTTAGCTGTGAGCCATGACTGATGGGGAAGCTGGGAAGGAAAGGGAGAGAGAGCCCTTTCCAGATTGATGAGCCTGTCTTCTGCCTTCCATGGACAGGACGCTGATCACCCACACCAAAGCCCTGGACCTCACCCGTCCTGTGACCTTTGTGAGCAACGCCAAATATGATGCAGACCTAGGGGTGAGCCTGGAGTGTGTGTGGGGGGGTGGTCTCTGCCCTCCACGCCTCTGCTTTGGCCTTTAGGCTTGTGTTTACTACAAGGAAGCAGCAGCGGCAAGTCCAGCCATTTTCACAAGTGGTTTTCAGGTTAAAGGAACCAACTTCCTGTTAACTCATACTGCCAAGGCAGTGTGACTTCAAACCCCAAGAAGCCTGGGCTACCTCCAGGACAATGTACTTGTTTAACCCTGACAAGAGAAAAGGCCTGGTAGTCAAGTACAGAGGACCAGAGTTCGGATCCCAGTACCCACATGATGGTGGCTCATGACTGTCCGTTCCAGGGGATCGGACACTTCCTGATGCAAATATACAGGAAGAACATTCATTTATGAGTTTTCTAAAAATAGTTAACAACAACAGAGGTCTTGTTAGCCCTGGCTTCTCTATGTCTTTAGAGCCCACCCTTCAAAGAAACAGAGGTTTCAGGGAGGCCCACGTGCTGGCTGCTCCAGTGCTTGCCCTATCTTCTATGTAGGCCCGGAAGCCTTTGCTGGGCGCCCCATGCCTGGCTCTTGACCTAGAGTGTGCTTTCCGAAGGGATGCTACTTTGTCCTCTGCAATTCTCTGCTGCTTTGCATCTTCCCGCCACCACAGCCTGGAGAGGGTCTGTGGCCCCTTGGAAAGAACTCACCGTTCCAAGGGCAGCTTTGAAGTTGAGCTTTGTTGCTAGAGAGACATGCTTGGGTGACACTGGAGGCTAGCTAGCCAGACATGGAACGTTTGTTTGTTTGTTTGTTTGTTTGTTTGTTTGTTTGTTTTTTGAGACAGGGTTTCTCTGTGTAGCCCTGGCTGTCCTGGAACTCACTCTGTAGACCAGGCTAGTCTCGAATTCTTGAACTCAGAAATCCGCCTGCCTCTGCCTCCCAAGTGCTGGGATTAAAGGCGTGCACCACCACCGCCCGACTTGGCTTTCTTTTTTGATTTTATATACAATGGTGTTTTGCCTGCGTGTGTGTCTGTGTGAAGGTGTCGGGTGACCTGGAACTGGAGTTACTGACTGCTGGGAGCTACAGATTGAACCTGGAAGAGCAGCCAGTGCTCTTAACCACAGAGCTATCTCTCCAGCTTCCTAGGCTCAGAACTCTTTGATACTGGTTAGACCATACCTATCCCTGTCCCACAAACACCCCACCAGTGCCTAGGAAGAAATCTAGTCAGTCTGCCGTTCACAGCCCGGCCTTCTCAACTGTAGATCAGAGAAGACTCTATGACGGGCTGGGGACGTGGCTCAGTGGTACAACCTATGCTAAGAACGTGCAAGTCCTTGGGTTGCACCCCCTAGTGCCTGCCCCCAAATTAAGGAGCCGGAGATGTAGTTCAATTGATGAGTGTTTTTCTCGAATTCCCAAAATCCTGGACTTGGTCCCCAGCGATCCCTAGCACTTGGGAGGTAGAGGCCAGGGAGTCATCAGTTCAAGGCCAGCCTTGGACACATAGACGTTTGAGAGCAGCTTGGGCTATATAAGTCTGTCTCAAAATCTGAACTGTGAGGAGAAAAAACTTATCCATTCTTCCTGTTGGATCACATCCCCAGGCAAGGCCACAGGAGACCAGGAACAGGATCAGAAAGAAGTAAAATCCAGCAAGGTCAGAGGTTGGCTGGCTGGTGGCCTGCTTTGCTTCCAGCCATGGCCCAGTCAGCAGTCTTAGCCTAGCATTATATATTAGTCCTGTTTGGATCTGGTCTTGACTTTATTTCCTGTGTAGGGTGGGTTAACCTACGTAATCTGCCTCTTATTCTGACCTTGAAGCAGAGGCCCTCGGTGTGAGGGGTAAACTCAATTGACCACTCTTGCCCTAGGTCCAGTACGTGGACGTAATCTGTATAAACAGCTACTTCTCTTGGTATCACGACGCTGGGCATTTGGAGGTGATTCAGCCCCAGTTGAATAGCCAGTTCGAGAACTGGTACAAGACGCACCAGAAGCCAATTATCCAGAGCGAGTACGGAGCGGATGCAATCCCAGGGATTCACGAGGTAAACAGTTCATTGTCACAAAGGCGATGTGACTTAGGCCAGTGACCCTACCTCAGCTCTCAGGCACCTCCCTAAGCCTACAGACACTATGGCCCCTGCATGCAGCCCTCTGCTTGGCTTGTGTGCATCCCAGAGACAGCCAGAGACAGGCTGTGTTTCTACACAAGGCCCCCACCTGCATTTTTTTGTTCTGCTTTTTCTTTTTTTCCTAAGAAGGTCTCTGATGCCGAGGCTGGCCTCAGATTCGCAATCTCCCATAGCCTCTTGAGTGCTGAGATGACAGGTGTCCCTCCACACCTGTCCCGATAGCGACCTCTTAAAATTCTTAGCCCATGAGCTGGAGAGCTGGCGCAGTGGTTAACACTTGCTGCCTTCCCAGTGGACCTCAGTCCGGTTCCCAGCACCCACCCTGGGTAACTCCAGTTCCAGAGCATCTGATACCCTTTTTAGGCATCCACCGGTACCTGCCTGGCTGTAGGGCACACAGACACACGATTCATACAAACGAACAACTCTTTATTAAAAGCATTTCTCAGCCTGGGAGAGGGTAGCTCAGCTGCCGGAGTGTTTGTGTAGCACGCACCAAGCCCTGCATCCTACCCCAGCACTACATAAGCCAGCTGTGGTAATGCATCCCTGTAGTACTAGCGCTGAAGTCATCCTTGCCTACGTAATGAGTTTGAGGCTAGTCTAGGATACAGAAAGCCCTGTCTCAAGACAAAAAAAATTCTTCCCATGTCGAGACAGGTGTTGATAGATCCTTGGCAATGCTGGAGATGTCTGCCTCTATCTGCCCTCCTCGGAATGGTAGCAACCAGCCAGGAAACAGCTACAGGGGATTTGAAATGTGGGCAGTATGAGTGAATTGGTTTAGTGTTATCTTAATATAGCCACATGTGACTTGCAACTACTTTATTAGTGTGGGTATGGGACTATTTTCATTAAAACTTATAACAGGCAAAGTGGCCCGTGTTTAGATTACCACTTGGGTGGAGGCAGTTGAGTTGTAGGACAGCCTGGGCTACGTGAGATGACTCAGATAAAGCACTCGCTACACAAGTGTGATGAGCTGAGTTCAAATCCCCCCCAGGACTCACATAATGCCAGGTGTGGTGGCACACATCTGTAACACATCTGTAACACCGTTCTCCTACTGAAAGACGAGAATTAGAGGCAGGAGGATCCCTGTTAGCTCTCAGGCCAGCCATGTGGTACAGACAGTGGTGAGCAAGAGACCTTGTCTCAAACGAAGAGGAAGGTGAGAAATGATGAGCTAGCCTCTGACTTCTACAAGCATGCATCCCTGCTCAGACATATATGCGTACCTACATCATACGTGTACCCCTGCATGTACACATATGTGTACCTACAGCATACACAACATTTTTTTAAAGAAATCGTTTCATTGTGGGTATGTCTGTGTGTCTGTCTGGGGATATGTGGATGTGTCTGGGTACCCACTGAGGCTAGAGATGTCAGACTCTCCTGGAGCTGGAGTTAGAAGTAATTGTCCACCACCTGGTGCAGGTACTGGGAACTGATTCGTCTGTGAGAACAGGGTACTCTCTTTTAAATTTGTTTTGTTTGTATGTATGTATGTATGTATGTATGTATGTATGTATGTATGTATTAGTATTTTGCCTGCATATATGTTAGCTTGAGGGTGTCAGATCCCCTGGAACTAAAGTTGCAGACAGTTGTGAGCTACCATGTGGGTGTTGGGACTTGAACCTGGGTCCATTTGGAAGAACAGCTAGTGCTCTTAACCACCAAGCCATTTCTCCAGCCCCAATAAAAGTCAGTCCTAGTCCCACACAAAGGAGTCGCTAAGTCTGGATGAGGGTACTTTCGAGATCAGTCTGGCTACATCCAGGCTATGTGGTAAGATCTTGAAAGAAACTGCCCCACCCCCACTTTATTTTAGAGTTGAGGTAAACACATAGTTTGACTCCCAAAGTACTTCAGCTGGAGTACTGTGCCTTTAGCAGGGCAAGTGCTTATTCTGTGAATGTGAGAAACAAAAATCAGATCCTCACCACCCAGATAGGTACAAGGCCGGTGTGGCGGTATTCCGGTAACCCCAGTGCTCTCGTGGAAGGGATGAGATCCCTAGAGCAGAATACCTTCCTTACCAGACTCACTGAAATAGCAAGAGACCCTGACTCGATTAGGGTAGCATAAAACTGCCGGGCGGTGGTGGTGCACACCTTTAATCCCAGCACTTGGGAGGCAGAGGCAGGCGGATTTCTGAGTTCGAGGCCAGCCTGGTCTACAGAGTGAGTTCCAGGACAGCCAGGGCTACACAGAGAAACCCTGTCTCAAAAAACCAAAAAAAAAAAAAAAAAAGTAGCATAAAACTAAGGATCACCTGATTTCCAACACGGGCAAATGAAAATAAATACGACAAATACACAATTACTAACTAAAGTTTTTACTTTTTGGTTTTATTTTGTTTTCCAGACAGGGTTTCTCTGTGTAGCCCTGGTTGTCCTGGCACTTGATCTGTAGACCAGGCTAGCCTCGAACTCATAGAAATCCTCCTGCCTCTGCCTCCTGAGTACTGGGATTAAAGATGTGTGTCACCACCACCCTATAGGTTTTTACATTTTTTAAAGATTGTTTTTAAGACAGGATCTCACAATGGAGCCCCAGCTGGCCTTGAACTCTCGATCCTTTGTGCATCAGCCTCTGGGGATTAAAGACATGGGCCACCTTGATGACCCCTCCCCAAGACAGGGTTTCTCTGGGTAGCCCTGGCTGTCCTGGAACTGGTTCTGTAGACCAGGCTGGCCTCAAACTCAGAGATCCTCCTGCCTCTCCAGTGCTGGGATTAATGGCATGTGCCACCACCGCCAGGCTGAAGGTGTCCTTTAAAGTCTCTTTAATGCTAGCTGACATGAGACCCCAGGGTCTCTGAGCCAGCATCGGTTAAAGTCCTGCAGTTAGTACAACCCCGCATCAGGACAGACCTTTTAGTTGTGGTCGAGTGGATCTCACGCAAGGCTCACCTACTCTTGGCATGCCCTTGGCTTTAAATCCCAGGATCCGCCTCGAATGTTCAGTGAGGAGTACCAGAAGGCTGTCCTGGAGAATTATCACTCAGTTCTGGATCAGAAGCGAAAGGAATACGTGGTCGGAGAGCTCATCTGGAATTTCGCCGACTTCATGACGAGCCAGTGTGAGTGTCTGTTAGGTTTATGGATTTTTCTCAGCTTGGTGTTTTCAGTTCTGGGCCTTTGTGAGAATACTAGAAATGGGACAGGGGAGATGGCTTTAGGGAGTAAAGTACCTGCTTTGGTCTATTTTACAGTGGTTAAAAGGAGAGAAGCAGGCTTCAGATTGGGCTGTATCTTCCTCCCCCAGCTTTTCATGGGAGTCTCACTATGTAACCACAGCTAGCCTGTAGACCAGGCTGGCCTGGAACTCGTAGTGATCCAATTGCCTCCATCTCTTGGGTGCTAGGATTAAATGTGTGCCCCTCCATAGAATTTTAAACGTTACCAGGGGATGGGGAGTGGAGTATGTGTGCATGCCACAGCACGTAGGTAAAGGTTAGACAACTTTGGGGCGTCTGCTTGCTCCTTCTACCACGTGGATGCCTGCGATTAAACTCGTGGTGATTAGGTTTCATAGCAAGGGTTTTCTGAGCTATCTTACCAGCCCTCCTTGTTTTTTTGTTTTTGTTTTGTTTTTTAGCAACCACGAGAGTAGTAGGGAATAAGAAGGGGATCTTCACTCGCCAGAGACAACCCAAGACTTCCGCCTTTATTTTGCGAGAGAGATACTGGAGGATCGCAAACGAAACCAGAGGTCACGGGTCAGTGCCGAGGACCCAGTGTTTTGGAAGCAGACCGTTCACGTTCTAAAGCTAAAACTACCTCACTGCAGACTCAGCCTGAAGAAGTGAAAGGGGTTCGTTCTCTCAGCAGCAGAGCAGATGTCTCCAGACACTTCCTGGCACCAGTGTTTCTACTTTGGATTTTGGGAACTGCTAGAAGAGGACTTTAGAAGTGACACTGAAGGGCTGGAGAGATGGCTCAGCGGTTAAGAGCACTGCTTGTTCTTCCAGAGGTCCTGAGTTCAATTCCCAGCAACCACATGGTGGCTCACAACCATCTGTAATGGGATCTGATGCCCTCTTCTGGTGTGTCTGAAGACAGCTACAGTGTACTTGTCATATATATATATAATAAAAAAAATCTTTTAAAAAAGTGACAGTGACGCTTTTTTTGTGTGAGGACAGTGGCTTGGAACGCCTTAGGCTCAATAATGTGTCCTGCTAAATGGTGTCCAAGGTCATTTCTGTCTGTTTTTTTGTTTTGTTTTGTTTTTTGGCCGTGGCTTTGTATACTGTTGAAAACCTCACACTAAATTAAGAGCTACTGGTGAGGGGCTGGAGTGATGGCTCACAATTTAAGAGCACTGACTGTTCTACCCGGAGGTTCCGGATTCAATTCCTAGCACCCACATGGTGGCTAACTAGGAGCTGTTACTCCACTTCCCAGGTGATCCAAATGCTCTCTTTTTGGCCCCTGCAGGTACATGTATGTGGTATATGGATGTGCTTGTGGGGAAAAGTCATACATGTAAAATAAAACTAAATCTAAAAAAAACCTGCTTTCTTTCTTCTGTTACTATTGTTGTCGTTTGAGACTGGTGTTACCTGTGTAGCTCTGGCTGTCCTGAAACTCACTCTGTAGACCAGGCTGGCCTCAGAATCAGAGATCCACCTGCCTCTACCTCCCTCCCAAGTGCTGGGATTAAAGGTATTTGCCACCACCACCGCCACCACTACACAGCAAATTTGTTTTAAAGTGCTGGGGCATCTAAACAGGCTAGTCTTGATCCAGTGAGAGTGAGTCACTCAACAAATGTCTCAGAGGAGCTGGGTGTGGTGGCACATAGTTTTAATCCAGCACTCAGGAGGCAGAAGCAATAAGCTCTCCAGAGTTCCAGGTTGGACCTGTCTCAAAAGCCCCCACCGATGAGCCATGGCCCATGGGTAGTCACACGTGTAGAGAAGCCCTCTAACAGGGCAGCAACTGACAGACCACTTTCCACAGTTGAGAAGACAAATAGAAGATTCAAATGCCACGTCTCTGAATTGTGAGCTCGACTCCAGCCTGGTTTTCCTGTGCGTATGCATGCTTGCAGGGGCCAGAGAAAAAGCTCAGTGGCTATCCACCGTGTTTTTTAAGACAGAATTTTAGATTAGGGGAGGACTCACCAAGTAAATGAGGCTGCTGGCCAGCAAGCCCCAGGCTTCTGCCTGTCTCTACTTCTCCTGTGTTGAGATTTCAAGCACACGCCACTAGTCAGTCTAGCTTTTAAGCATGAGTTCTGAGGACTGTACTCAGGGTCCTTATGCATGTACAGCAAGCACTTTAATGACAAAACTGTTGCCACAGGCTTCCCTATAGTCTCTCCACAGGCGGGACAGCTTTGTGTAGAAGCCCAGTGGCTCTCACCAATGTCACTGAGTAGGACCTGCCTTTTAAAACAGTGCTGTGTGTCTGGTAGCTCCCAGCGTGATGATCTGTTGTCATGCTAAGTCTTCCTTTGGGGATTCGTCCCTGTTTCCCTGGTCCAGAGGTTCCACTGAGGCAAGGGTATATAGCACACTATTTTTCCCAACATCAATCTCGGTTTTCTGAGCTGTCCAGTCAGACGGAAGACAAGGAGCCACGGGCAGACTGCGGTCTCTTCTCGGGGTCAGTTTCATGCCTCTACACATATCCCTTCCCAGTCTTCCCTTTCCTAAACCCATGAAAAGTAGAGCACCTACACTTCCTCTTGAGGCCCTTGTAAAAATCAAACTGTTGAAGCTGGGTGTGGTGGCATGAGCCTTTAATCCCAGCAGCACTCAGGAGACAGAGGCAGGTGGATCTCTGCTGAGTTTAAGGCCAGCCTGGTCTACAAAGCGAGTTCTAGGACAGCAAGGGCAACACAGAGAAACCCTGTGTTGAAAAAAACAGGAAAGGGGTTTGGCGGAAGAAGAGACTAACGTTAGTTCAAGTGGGAAGAGATTTTAGGGGTTCTGTAATTTGTATCACCACAGACTCTTTACACTTTTCAAAACACCCAAGTTTTGTGTCTAAGTTTAACATAATTTTTAAAATATTTTGTTTATTGTCTGTGTATGTTTGTGAACCACGTGTGCCTGACCTGATGCCAGTAACGGTCAGAACATATAAGAGCCTCTGGAACTGGAGTTAGAGGTGGCTGTGAGCCACCATGTGGATGCTGGGAACTGAACTCCAGTCCTTCGGAAGAACATGTCACTGGGCTGATCTTGGATGCTTTGGTTGTTCTTCCTGCATGTGATGGGATCACAGATACTATCACTCCCAGTTATACACCAAACCTAGGGACTTATGCATCCACCCATGCAAGCTATTAACAGGACCGCATCCCCAATCCAAATCCTGAAATTTCATACAGAACACGTCATTTATTCAGGGAAGGATGGATAAGTTACATTTCAAAGGGACTCATCTTGTTTATTGACGTCACCTCTGTAGAGTGTCAGGGGCAGCCCTGCTTATACACTGAAGGCCTAAAATCAGCCATAGGCCTAAAATCAGCAATAGGCCTGACATACATGCCTGCTAACACAAAGTCTTGGGTCTCTGTGGAAGGGTCTCTGTGGAAAAACACTGAAACAGATAGCTGTAAGATATTGTAAACAGGGGCTGGAGAGATGGCTCAGTAGTTAAGAGCACTGGCTGCTCTTCCAAAGGTCATGAGTTTGATTCTCAGCAACCACATGGCTCACAACCATCTGTAATGGGATCTGATGCCCTCTTCTGGTGTGTCAAGGACAGTGTGCTCATATACATTCAATAAATAAATCTCTTTAAAAAAAAAAAAAGATATTGTAAACAGGCAGCTTTGGTGGAAATTTACCAGCCTGGATAAGAACTAATAGTCATAGACCTTGTAGATAGGTAGCCTTGGCGGATAGGTAGCCTTGTAGTGTAGTCATAGTGATCTGTCCCCTGAACCTTCACTCAGCCAACACTCTGTTCTGGAAGATATCTGTACTCTGAACACCCACACTCCTGTGTCATCCCCTTCCCCACATCCTGCCTTTTTTGTGTATATAACCCGTGTGTGAAAAAGTAAAAATTGCGATCTGATCAGATTATAGACAGATCATCATTTCTTGTGTTCGCTTGTTTTCCCCCATCTTCTCTTTCAGGTGACCTTCCCGAACCCCTGTTTAATGCTCTGCTGGATAGGACAGTAGAGGACTGAGGAATATTAAATTCAAAGCTATGCAGACATCTTAAAACATTCCATGTAACATCTATTGTCCGTCCTCGCCCCCATCCCTTTTATGCACATGGGTGTTTTGCCTGCATGTATATCTAGACACCACTGTATTTGCATGCTCAGTTCCTGTGGAGACCATAGTGAGGCATCAAATCCCCAGGAACTAGAATTACAGATGGTTGTGGAATGCTACATAGATGCTGGGAGTCAACCGTAGGTCCTCTCAAAGAACAGCCAGTGTTCTTAACTGCTATGCCACCCTCTCTTGTTTTCTGAGGTAGGGTGTGACAGAGCCTAGGCTGGCCTCCAACTCAGTGTGTAGCTAAAGATGACCTCCAACTCCTGATCCTCTGACTTCTGTGCCACCAATATCTATCTGGCTTACTGTCCCCCTCTTTTTTCCTCCATTCTCTTTTTCTGCTAGGAATGTAAAGCCTGTTAAACGTATGTTCTCCTAATGAGCTGTGCCTACAACCCTATCATGGCTTCTGTCTTACCCCTGGAACTATACTTACAGGTAGGCGGTCATGAGCCACCATGTGGGTGCTGAGAACTGAACCTGGTTACTCTACAAGTGTTTTTTCGTTTGTTTTTTTTTTAATATTTATTTATTGTATGTATGAATACACTGTAGCTGTCTTCAGACACACCAGAAGAGAGCATCAGATCCCATTACAGATGGTTGTGAGCCACCATGTGGTTGCTGGGAATTGAACTCAGGACCACTGGAAGACCAGTCAGTGCTCTTAACCGCTGAGCCATTTCTCCAGCCCTCTGCAAGTGTTCTTAACTACTAAGTCCTCTCTCTCATTATTTTTGAGACAGGGTCTCACCAAGTAACTCTGGCTGTCCTAGAAACTTGTTTTGTAGATCAGGCTGGCCTTGAACTCTCAGAAGTGTATCTGCCTCTGCTGTGAATAAAGGCCTAAGCCACCACAACATCTAGCCCTGTCAAGGATTCTTTTTCTTTTTAAACATTATTTCATGTGCGTTGGTGCTTTGCCTGCATGTGTGAATGAGTCAGAGCCCCCTGGATCAGGAGTTACAGACAGTAGCGAGCTGCCATGTGGGTGCTGGGAATTGAACCCAGGTCCTCTAGAAGAACAGCCAGTGTTCTTAACCACTGAGCCATCTCTGGAGTCCCCTGTCACAGATTCTTGAGAATCACAGAAACCCAAGAACACAGACCCTAAAATATCTGAATAGAGACTTAAGAGAAAAGACTCTCAATTAGTATCTGAAGGGATGGGACACCGGTACCACGGACACTAGAGTCCTCCCTGATTCTAGACTTTGTTTCATCCGGCTTCATTTTTGAAGACTCCACACTGAAGTAAGAATGATGGCAGCACAATATCCACAGGTAATTGTCTACATTTATTTTATACCAAAAAAGTTATGTGCAACAAATAAACATTCTTACATATTTACATCTGTATTTACCAGTTAGCAAAATGGTATCCTAAATCTCTGATAAAGAATATTTCTATCTATATTAAAGAGGGAATCTTCCCAGTGAACTCCTTTTTACATGAAGGTTTACTCAGGAGCTTTCGAAGCAGTAGTAGTATTTTAGATGGAACATACTTCACAGGTTATATATACCTATTATCTAGGCCACACCAATACAGCCTCGGAACACCTTACCTCTCCTGGGCCAATTAGTTGAAAAGGGGGAAGGGGTATCTGATCACACTGCCTGGAATCCTACTCTGCTCTTTATGACTCGGTTCTCACAAAATTAGGATTTATAAGCTCACTGCCTAAAATGCTTAGGGGTGGAGAGGGGCGGGGTCACTGATTGATGTGCATTGGAAGAAAACAGGAGTGGATCCCAGACAGGTTCCTGGACATGCTGGTGGGGAACTTTGCTGACATTTTTCTGACCTTTAAGGTCAGGTCACCCACCACCTGCCAGTATCCATCAGAATCAACTGCTGGTACCAGCTAGAGCTTATCCAGTAACGGCTGAGTGGTTTTTGTGTTTTGAGATTTTGCTTTTCTAGAGACAAGGTCTCAAAATAGCCCAGACTGTCCTTGAACTTCTGGTCTTCCTGCCTCTACTTCTCAAGTGCTGGGATTACAGGCATGTGCCACCATTCCTGGCTGCACTTTTAATAATCTTAATATAATTATAAGTAGAAGAAAACAAAAAAAGCAACAATATTAATTTTATTGTCCTCTATCTTACCTCATAGGTACAAGGATCTTTTGTACCAAACAAAATACTTCCGTATGTATATAAGTGTCTTGCCTGCATATATGTCTATGTACCATATGCTCGCAGGGCCTCAGGGGCCAGAAGAAAGTGTCAGACCCCCAGGAACTGGAGTTGCAGATAAAGGTTGTTAAGCAGACATGAGGGTGGTTGGAGCCAAACCTGGATCCTCTGTAAGACTGAGTTCTCCTAACTGCTAAGCCACCTCCCCAGCCCCCAAAACTTGTCCCTTTACATTAAAAAGGTCAATGTTTTTCACCATTCCTTACGTATAATGAATTTAAACCACTCATCCCAGCACTTGGGAGGCTAAGGCAGGAGGAATGTCAAGTTTGAAGCCAGCCTGGGCTATGTACTGAATTCTAGGACAGCCTAGGCTGCAGAGAAAGATCCCGTGTCTCTTTAAAAACAAAACAACAACCATCACAAAAGAGCTGAAGGAAAAGCCACATAGATGAAGCAAAAATAATTCTTGGAATACAGCTAGTGCAACGAGTTAAACCTGAGTTGTATCAGAAGTTTACCCTCCTGGACAGAAGCTAGCTGTGGGAAAGGACCAAGGGAAATCCCACAAGGCAACCACAGCCCCTGGAGCACACCTAGCCAGAACCTGTCTTACTCCCGTCACTATGAATCGAGAGGCTTCCTTTGTTATGAATCATTTCAAAAGCATGAAGCACAGAATTCCTGTAGGAATCATTTTCCCCCTGGTCTGCCCTTCCGTGTTTATTGTTAAGTCAACTAGCAGTGTTTATTATTATTATTATTATTATTATTATTATTATATTTTGTGCGTAGGCTTTCAGGGTTTCACTATATAGCCCTGGCTGTCCTGGAGCTCATTACCTAGACCAGGGCAGCCTAGAACTCAGAGATCCAACTGTCTCTGCTCCCCAAGTGCTGGGACTTAAGGTGTGTGTCACCAGGCCCGGCCTGCTTCTTCAGTGTTTAAATCCTCAGTCTGAAACAGTCATAGCAAGATTAGCAGTTTTATAAAACACAGTGTTTTCCTCCCCCGTTCCACTAGGTTTAGGTACAGAGAGAAGTCTAAATTCCCTCAGGGCAAAACTACCAAATAAAACACAACAGGCTCACTTACAGAGAACATATATTTTAGCAAAAAAAAAAAAAAAAAAAAAATTTTTTTTTAAAAGGTAGGGTCTCCTGTAGCTAATGCTGGTCTCTATTTTGCTATGTAGTCAAAATACCCTTGAATTCCTGATCCTTCTGCATCTATACTCCAAGTGATGGGACCACAGGCAAGCATGAGCACACAGTCGGCAAATGCTGTTTCTCCAACAGCACCTGTTGACTCTCAGTGAGAAAGGGGTATCCATTCTATTAGGTCACAGGAATGTAACAAACAAACAAATAAACAAGTCATACAATCAATAATGGTGGTACTCCCAAGACTTAGGAAAGCAAAGGGAAGCCTTAATTGGTCTGGTGGATGGAACCCTCTCACATTTTCTTGAGTAGGGGTTGGAGACATTAAGACAAGGTTTAACTTCATTCTGCTGAGTGATGAAAGACAGAAAAGGTCATTTGGGATCGGGACCCAGGGGACATGTTTAGCAGAGCTTTGATATGTAAGTAGCAGAAGTCTTAGCTATTAGCCATTCCACTGCCTTGGGAGACCCGGACACAGGGATATGAGATGACCTCACTGTACAGTTCTCGAATGAGGACTTGGTTTACCATAAATACCGTTTAGTACTTTCTAGACGTTCTTTAACTACTTAAGAAGACAACAGCAATGCATACATAGTAAGATAGTCACGGAAATGTTCACATTCATGGGGAAACACAACCTTTGATGAAATCGGAATTAAGCTGTCTTAAGACACTGGTTAGAAGCTCCTAAAGAAGCATTACAATTCCTATTTTATACCTGCCCCAGGCCAAACTCCTATGGTGCATCAGTACAACTGAAGGTCATAAAGCACTCAACAACTGCTGTCTCAGAATTTGCTGTCTAGTTGCCTATTTTTTAACATATTAACCAAATCATAAACAAAAACATTGCCACTTTTCAACCCGAGGAATAAAATGGCCGCACGGACCCTTCTGGTAGAATGCAAGTTCTCTGCTTCATGGTAAGGAAGGAAAGGAGGGATACTTCTGCCCCAGTTCAACACACAGAATGATTTGGTTTGAGATTTAAGACAGAAGGCACTTTTAACATCTCCTGTAAGATGCTAACCAGAGAAACCCAGTCGCCATGCCATTGGGGTTTATTCAGATCACCTCTGGGGTTCTTCTTACTGCTTCTGGGTGGCTACCGGAGTGGGACAAAGTTTCCACATTTCTCTCCCAGGTCTTTCTACGTGTTGTGTTTCTTCTGAGTCAGCAAACAGTTCCTCCCGACAGCCCTAAGGTTTACAAATTCAGTATGTGATTCTGAAACACTTACTGATCATCCTTAGTGCAAGAAGAAACAAGAAGGGGAAACACTGTGGACCAACCTCAGAGCACTTGGCTTGTGCCTACTTCAGTCGTAATACTGCTGAGCTGACTGGCACCGGAATCAAGGGAATACACATGTGGACTGAGAGCTCAGCGGCTGCTTAAGAGGCTTTGCCCAGAAACGCAATAGTGGATTCAGTTTTTCTCCAAAGACCACATCCACTTCCCATCATCAGTGTCCTGAGAGCCTTGGAATTAAAAGGTCTAGTCATGTGACATCCCGTACAGTTACCATCCATCCAGTTCTGACTAGTCAAACTTGACTTGGATGTTCAGACTTAGTTTCTTCCTCTCAGAGTGGGAGATGGAAGGGAACCAACCACCCTACTGTTTCTGCTGTCAATACTGCACCAGGGCTGTAAGCGCATTTCCCAAGATGTTCTGTTTGCCTCTACAATCTCCACTGTTTATCAGTCACAAAGAGCTGACAATTCCTTGCTACACTTCAACTAGACTGTACAGTAAGTTCTGCAGGGGTGGATCCAATGTTTCTACCTTTATTTACAAATATCACACGAATGGACTCTAATTGAATCTACAGGTTTAAATCCATTGGCTAAAAACATATTACATATTGTAAACATGGCAATATTTAATACAGTATCTATTCTAAAATATTTTCATGTTCATGATCACAATTTGTTATACCTGAAATTGAATTTATACACATTAAAGAATTGCTAGCAATGGCTGCTCACTTTACGGTTGAGGACCAGGGGCTAGGGCTACTTTTTATTATCTCAGAAACATCTTCAAGGTAAAGTTAAAGCTTGTCTTTGATTGGCTCGGCGTATCCTTTTTTGTATCCAGATTTAAAATGAAGACTGACACAGGAAATAGCTAGGGCCCCTTCTAATTTACAATATTTTAAAAAATCAGTTTAAGATTCTCAGGGAAAGTGTCTGTTGTGAATTAAAAAAAAAAAAAAACCTTGCAAAATAAACTTAATGAAAGAAGTGTTGGTTGGGTGGAGGTCCGCTGGCCATCAGTCTTCCTTAGGCTGCAGCTGTCGCTTCCAGGCCTCATTCAAGTAAACTAGTCGTTTGTAATTGATGATGAGGAGGAGGAAGTTCAGCACATATGTGGTGACGCAGATGATGCAAAACTCCTTCAGCACAAAGTACAGAATGTAGGCCAGGTACAAAGACCCCACCACAGACACGATGGAGGAGGTCATGAGGACCAGAGCTGCAACTGCGCTGGCTGTCATGCCTGCAAGAGAGAAACAGTGGCTGGGTCAGGGCGGCCTGGACAGATGCTTCTCTACTGACAAGTGACAGGCTGTGGCTACAAGCAGTTATCAATACTGACCTTACCTTCTTGACTGTGAGAGAAAACAGGGTGCAAACACTGCCCATCTGTCTTAGGACTAACCAGGCTGAATTGTACTGACAGGAGTCCACAGCTGCCAGGGTTCTGATCTGTTACTACTGCACAGGGAAGTGTGCACACCAACTGTGCAAGCTCGCCATCACATGGAGCAAAGATGCTGGTGCAGTCTCCTAATGAGCACAGGAACGAGGGCAGCAGCTTTCCTTCCAAGCCACGGACTGGGGAAGGTTCACTCTTGTCATTCATTTCACTACAGGTTCCCTATCTGGGGAGATGCTGCCTTTCATGTTTAGATCAAATTTACCAAAAAGCCAGACCAGATGATGCCCTTGTCTACACTGTGTTAAAGAGGAAAAAAAAAAAAAGAAAGAAAGAGAGTTGACTTTAGAATGGCTAATTGGTGGAGAAGGGAAAGTAAAACAGGCCAGTAAGCCATATCTGCATCAAAACACATCAGGCAAAAAGGCAGTCGGAGCGGGTATGGTGGTATATGTTCATAATCCCAGTACTCTGGGGGCTGAGGCAGAAGGCTCAGACTGGAGGTCTGCCTGGGTACATAGTAAGACCCTGTCTCAAGGAGAAAAAGAGAAGTAGTCAGGTATTAAAAGCCAGGACTCAAAACAAAAAGTGTCTGGAGTCTTCACTACCTTCATATGTACTGTCCTGTAACTCCCTAATGTCAGCAACACAAATACCATACAATGATCTTCAAGGTCAGAGACGGCAAGAGCACATTAAACTCCTGACCTATCCAATTGCTAATGGGCCAGAAAAGCCTGGACTCTGTCAAATCTACTCAAACAGTAGTCTACTCAACTGCGCTACATCATCCATGCTCAAAACCTAAGCCTCAGTAACTAGTACTGACAGCTTAACTTTACCAAACAAAGTTAATTTTAAAATGACGCAAGAGGCAGGCATAGTGATCCACTCCGTAATCCAGTACTCTGCAGCTACGGCAGGAGACTGTCTGTGAATCTAAGGACAGCCAAGGCTATAAATGATTGTGGCCTAGCTGGAGATAAATAAAAAATATTTTGAAAAATAGCACTTGTGGGCTAGAGGATCACTTGTGGCCTCAGGAGTGGGTCTCGTCACCTAGATGCACAAGGCTGTGTGGGGTTCAACCTCCTGCACAGCAAGCAAAACGAACAAAAATGCATACATAAAATGACGTGTGAACTATTACCTGTGTTTTTTTCTCTGTTCCAATTTAAATAGCAGACAGTCCTCTACCTCTTAGGTCTGCTGTGAGCATGATGTGGGCTGTGATGAAGCCTGACTCTATGAACTACAATACGGTGCTCAGAACGCCCTGTCAGTGTTGCTACTGTAATAACTGCAGTGTATGCAGGCACTTGTGACTTGTGGAAAAATTAACTATAGAATATCTTATAGCTGTAAAAACATCAACCAAAAACGAAAAAAAACATTTAATGTATCCATTCCATATATAAAAAAGGCCATTATGATAGATCAGTCAAAAAAAAAAAAAGAAAGAAAAAAGAATAAGCTGTAGGAAGGACAGGGAACACAGCGTTTGCTTCTTATGTTCTGAAAGTAAAGAACCATTGCTGGGTGGGGGCGGGGTGGGGCGGGGCAAAGGAGAGGAGCTGAAGTGGATCTGAGGTGGGGTCCCCTTTACCACACAGCAGCTTAACATTTGAACTATGTGAAAAAAAAACCCAAGTTTCCAACGATGACTGTGACACCGTCGACAAGGGAGTGAGGTGGCAAGCTCTGGATGTGTTGGGTGACTCAGAAGAGCTGACATTACCAAAGCACGTGGAAACTAAAGTCAGCAAATGTGAGTGGCTATGCCATGGTGGGACTCAGCCATGGAATGGAGCCACCACATTAGTAGTATAAATGCAAACCGCCTTGGTCTCCCACAGGAACCTGGATGACTTTTCTCTAAGCCCTTTCTTTCCTACTAAGGGAAAATGGCCGCTCCCTGAGTTGGGGTCTGTACTTTAGAACTCCACAGATTCAACAAGTTGGAGGTGAACTTCTCCCTCCCCACACGGGACCCCTCACTCTGCTTTTGCATGCACAAACAAGCAGAATCACCCTATAGCTTTAAACACCATTTTGCTTGTTTTACTGAACCTTAATCTCTTCACATTCCCTTCTTTAATGGCTACACGCAGCTTTCTAAGATGGAGATGCCTCTGCTAGCTCAGCCATTGCTTACTGCTGAGCCCCCAGGAGCAGCTTGCTGTTTTAAACTGCACTATCTTGAGTTTTATCTGTTTTAAACTGCACTTCCTATTTCTTTAGGACAAATACATACACTCAGAATCAGGCAACCCTGATAATACTTCTTAGAAAAATTCATACTCCAAATGTGAATCGCAGCAAGTCAACTCCAGATTTAGCTTAACCAATCACTGCACAGAAGAGCTGACAAACAATAGAATAATATATTAATAGCTAAATTGAAAAGCACAAGCCCACCTCAAAACTAATGTTTAAAAGGATTATCACAAATAAGCTTAGTGGGCAGTAAAAGAACATTAAAGTAACATCAAAATGATGACTACTGATACTTGACAACAAGAAAATTTGACAAAAACAAAACAACAACAAAAAACAAAAACATTTCTAAAATGGACATTAGCTGGAGACCAGACGAATGGAAGAGGGGACAATTTGGCAATGTGTCAAAGTCTTTTTAAAAATATTAAAAAAAAAAAGTGGGTTGTTTTTTGTTTTTTTGTTTGTTTTTTTTTTTTTTTGGACTCATTAGCCTCATGCTTGGAAATCTATTTCAGGGAAATAATTTAAGGAAGGGAAGGTGCTTTAAAGAAACTGGATCCCCATGGCATTGTTTAGTAACAATGTGAGCCTGAGATGCCTACAGACACTTAGGACAGTAATATTGAAAATAAGAGGCTACACAAGTTTGTTGTTGTTTTCTTTTTCTTTTTTCAGCAAAAGGATGCAGCTCGGTTGTCCAGTACTAGGTTTGATTCTAGCACCAGAGGGACAAGCAGAAGCCCCACAAGACAGGGAACAGTAGATACACAGACATGCTGAATTCTGGCAGCTCACTGCTACTGTTTTCTTAAGATGTGATACTTTACGATAGCTAGAGTCTATGATACAACTTCAAAAAACAAGCTTACAAGCAAGACTGGAGTAGTAATGTCCGTGAACGGGGCTGGGTTTCTGGACATCATGACACGATACTAGCCATGACTATAGGTCCACTGATACCAAGGTCACCATATGATAAGAAGCAGTGACTCACACTTCACAATACAAAACTATTCTGGATTCTCGAGGTTCTCTCATTAGCACGTGCTTTTTACTATGAAGACACACTAGGGCGAAGACACAAGCACTGAATGGATATAACAAGCTTATTTCTGTATCTTTGTATCAATACTTACCAAGTAATAACTGTAGTATATAAAATATAAGTCCAAAGACACTGTTTGGCTGGTTTAATACACCATCTTTTCCAAAAATGGAACCCAAAAGACCAAATCCTCGACCCCATCTGTAAAATAAGGAAAACCAGTAACCCTATATTTGAGATTCCCTAATTTTTTAAAAGTAAAATTATTTGAGAATGTTATCCAATTCCACAATCAACTATGTTGACAAAACACTTAAATATCTTTTGTTCCGTGACTGATCTGCGCAAGGGGAAGGCCAAACATTAGATTTCTGTACTGTGTCTGAATTAAATTGATGGTTTAATACAAATATCCCTAAAAGCTCTGTATTTCCACCTAAGACTCTCTAGGGCCACTTTCTTTTCCTAAGGTAGGCACCCGGTTTCTTTACTGACAGTATTAGCATTTGCAAGAGTAAGGCTCTCTCAATTCCAGTCACCTCAGACTTTCCAACTCAGTAGCTCTCTGTGGCAGGCTGTTCTTACATTGCAGTGTTTAGCAGGGTCCCCGGCCTCCACTCACTCCACTTCCCACCCTAGGCTGTGACCATCTACAAAGCCTGCAGCCACTGCTAAGTGCAGCAGCTGACAACTACTCATGCGGTCCACTCCATAGCTGTATTCAAATGAGGCAGGTCTTTGAGAAGCTGCTTACTGGACATTTCACAAGGGTCAGCATGAGGAAACACACCCTCAACTTTGAATGCAGAGGAGTATCAGAAACCATAGGTCTCTTCTAGAATCCTGTTTCCAAAGTAAAAAAACTGGTATTTCACATTCCGCTATACATTTTCATTCAAAGTTTTTCAAAATCTGTATGTGACTTCATATTTTCAAAATCTTTTAAAATAATTTGTTGAATTTGTTCTGACAATTTTATTCATGTATAAAGTTCATTCTGTCCACTCCTTTAATATCTTTCCCACCTCTATAAGCCCCCAAAATCTTCCTTTAAAAAATTATTAAAACCAATTTAATAAGATAATACAAACAGACCAACAGTAACTGGATAAAAACCTCAAGACACTTCAGCTTTAACCCAGAATGACAGTGCTTCCTAAACACAAAAAGGAAATGATGTCTGAGGACAGGAATGAATGACTGAATCATGCTGGTTTAAACGAGCTCATGTCCAAGCAACAGAACAGAACCCCTTCACAGTCACACTGAAACAATAGCCATCCCAATCTTGGAACTGAGAGCCATAGAGGGTTTGTAGTACTCACACTTATAGATTTCAAATATGCAGAAGCAAGTTCCATTACATGCATGAATTCTCTCGCCCACCAAAGACTTAATGGGCAGTGGAGTTGCACACCTGAGGGGCAGCACCTGACAGGCAGCGCTGCACTCATGGGACTGACATTCTAGTGGGGGCATTCCAGGCTAGCATTTGGTAAAGTGAAGTCACCTAGGGAGGCCTTGTCAAGTGCAGATTCTGCTTCAGTGGGCTGGCAGTGAGGCAAGATGCATTCAACAAAAGGAGCTGGGGCTGAAGCAAAAGGACTATCATGAGTTTGAGGCTAACCTGAGCTACACAGTGAATCCTAGGACAGCCTGAGTTAAAAAAAAAAATGAGACCCTGTGTCAAAACACCAACAAAAATAATCAAGTAGAAACAGCTCTCCCCTTTGAGCTACAGCCGTAGGACTCATTCCTACACAGTCATTAGAACAGCCCCAAGCTTGAACATCAATGTAATAACCTGAGTGCAACCCCCAGAACCCACAAAACCGACTCTACCATGTTGTCTTTTGACTTTCACATGTGTGCCATGGCATGGACCTCCACAACCATCCCTCCGCACATCACATATGCATATCTATATACAATATTGATAAATTTAAAAAAAATAGGGCCAGTAAGATAGCTCTGAGAGTAAAGGCCTTTGTCACAAAGCCTTACAGTCTGACTTCAATTCTCAGGACTTAATTTTGGTGGAGAGAACCAACCCCTAAAAATTATCCTCTGACTGACACATACATGCCATTAACATGAACACACCCAAAATAAATAGATAACACACCAATCTTGTCTAAAAAACAGCCAAGGAACTGGTATGGATGGAACATAAAAGAAAGGGGAAAAAAATTTTAATTTTTTTTTTTAAAAGATCTCACTGTGTAACCCTGCCTGGCCTAGAATCATTATGTAAACTAAGCCGGCCTTGAACTCACAGATTTGCCTGCCTCTCCCTTAGTCCTGGGATTAAAAGTGTGTGTCACTATGCCTGGCTTTACGCCAGTGTGCATTAAAGAAAGATCATTTTGAAATGGGGATCACTGTATACTTCTATAACCCTGGGACTTGTGAGGCTGGAAAGGAGTATGAGAAGTTGAGGCCAGCCTGGGCTACATAGTGAGGTTCTGTGTCCAAAAAACCAAAAGCATTCTAGAGGACTGAAAGATGATTCAGCAGCTAAGAGTCTGAACTGTGTTCAGTTCCCAGCACCCATGATCAGGGGGCTCACAACTGTTTGTAACTACAGCTCCAGGGAAGCTGACACTCCCTGGCCTCCTTGGGCACTGAACTAACTTAACATGTGGCCCCCTCCAACACTCCCCAAGTACAAAACTTAAAATAAAAATAAGGCGGTGGCTGGAGAACTGGCTCAGTGGTTGGGAGTGCTGGCTGCTCTTCCAGAGGACCTGGGTTTGCATCGCAGTGGCCACACAGCAGCTCACAACTCTCTGTGGCTCCAGTCCCAGAGCGTCTGACATGATTCCCTCTTCTGGACTTCTCAAACACCAGACATGCATATGGTTCACAGACATACATGCAGGCAAAATACTCATACATATAAAAATACATAAAATGTATAAATAAAAATAATCATGGAGTAGTGGTGCACACCTTTAATCCTACCTCTCAGGAAGCCAAGATAGGTGGATGTGTGTGAGTTTGAGGCCAGCCTGGTCTACATGGCAAGTCTGAGGTAAGCCAGAACTACATAGTGAGACCTGTTTCAAAAACTAAGTAAATAAATAAGTGAAATATTTGAAAACTTTATTTTAAGAGGCATCCTAGGTCCAATACTGAAAACAGACTGGCAGGAGACAGCAGCGGTCAGATGTCCAGTTAAACCCCACTGAAGGCTTCTCAGTGGAGTGTGCGGCTGCGGTGGCCATGTGCTGAGAAAGAGATCAGGCTAGTTGGAAGGTGCAGCTCCCACAACTTGCTCACAGATGGAGCATGCAGCATGACACAAAGAAATGATGCAACATGACACTCAGGACTTTGACTTGATGAGCTAGGCAGAGAAGCTGTGTTTTCTGAGCTAGGAAGGAGGGTATGATGAGAACGTCAGCTTTGGACACAGGTCTGCATGCCTTTAGCAGCTCCGCAGAGATGACAGATAAGCGAGCACAAATCTGCAGGGTAAGCTACAGATAACTGGTGGTAGTCAGGATATGGGTGGCATTTTACAGTCAGGAGACTTATGACAGCAACAATAACCTCTGATAAATTAATGGCTATCAATCAACAACTGACATATGACTCAGCTTTAGAGATAGCAAGGGTGAACATGTGGCGCAGGACTTTGGTGGCTTATGCTTTTGTTGACATGAACTATGATTGTTCTTGTTTCAATTTCGAGCTTTTGCCTTCAGATGTTCTCATATGCACATTTCAGTAAAACAACCCTCAAGCAACATTAAAACACTGAGTTTCCAAAAGAGACTCTAGATTTAGGTAGCTTTCCCTTCAATTGGCCCTGAAAGTTCAATGCACTTCCTATATGTGTTGCATTGGAGGCTGGGAATATTTTCTCAAAACCTGCCTTCAGGGATGGGAAATGGCTTGTAGTAAAGTATTTGTTATGTAAGCAAGGAAATCTGAGTTCAAGTCCAAGAACCTCTATAAACTGCTAGATGTGATAGTACCTATGATCCCAGCCAGGGGGGAGCCCCAGCAAATGAATACCTACAGCTGGTTGCCTAGATGGCCCATACATACACACATACATACATACATACATACATACATACATACATACATGTCCCCATACAGTGAGAGACTCTATGTCAAAATGAAGGTGAGGCTATTGAGATGGTCCAGTAGTCAAAGGTGCTTGCTGCAACAACCCAAGTCTGAGTTCTATCCCTGGATCCACATACATGGTGGATGGAAAGAACAGATTACTACAAACTGTCTCTTGACCTCCAAATAATTCTGTGGTGTATATACACAAATACACATAAATAATAAAATAACTAAAAAAAAAAAACAGTAAAGGGAAATTGAGGAAGTCATTCAGTATTAACCCCCTGCCTCCACGAGCACTGTCCTGCACGTGTGCACACATCTTAAAAAGTCATTCCGCCCACTCATTTCTTAAGGGCTTTAACATTTTTTTAAGTTTTAACACGTGGCCTCTCATTTTGTAGTCTATACTGGCCTAGAGCTATGCTATGTTACCCGAGCTGTCCTTAAACTTGTGACAACCTCCCTGCCTCAGCCTCCCAAGCACAGGAATTACAGGTGTGAGCCACCATGCCTGACTGAGTTTCACTCCTGAGTCAGCAATAACCACCAGAAAGCTGTCTTTGGACAGCATTGTCTTTCATATGCAACTGTTTCCATGGAGTCTAATGTTAGTATTATGTCTCAACTACCAAAGGAATATTTGTCTGAATACTTCATTTGCTAAAGGAATACTGCCAAACACCTACACCTATGTATCCTTATGCTAAACATTTAAGGAGATTACTAATTAATGGAAAGAAGGCTTTGCCCTCTCTTATTTTATTTATTTATTTATTTATTTAGTTAGTTAGTTAGTTAGTTAGTTAGTTATTTGTAAAGACAGGGCTTTGCTAGCACCTAGCTAGCACCAACTCATTCAGGACAGTGGTAAACCAGCAGTAATAGTGACTTTCCTCCGTCATTCAAGTCCTAGGACTATGGACACGTCCCACAGCTGCCTTTAATGCTTCCCTTTGCAGGCAGTGGGCCCACTGGGCACGATGATGCAGCCCTATAACCCCAGCACTCTGGGAGGTCTAAGATGAGTGCCAAGAAATATATAAGGCTTAATTCCTTTTTTTATCTTCTTCATTAAAAAAAAAAAAAACAAAATTAGAGTGCTAGAGGGAGAAACC